AGTGGGCACATGGGACGAGTCTTCTCGTGGTGGTGTAAGGCCCAGGTGGAAACCCATGACATTCATCAGGTCTTCTCGCAGCTCGGACGGCTCGAAATGGAGCAGTGGTCGTACGTCCCCTGAGGTGTTGATGGGCGGTAACCTTGGGATGGCGAGGATACCGTAGCCCTGTCGCGCAGCCCATGCCGTGCAGCATACCGCTAGGGTGAAGACCAAACTAGGTGTGTACTCCGCTTCGTTGAAGGTGGAGAACTGCCCATTACCCGACGAGCGCCACTCGTTGGGGTCATGAATGTGTCCACATCGAACGGCCGGAAGGGAGGCTAACTCAGGGATGTTGTGGCGGAACTTTTGGGCTTTGCGCCGAGCGCCTCCGAAGACGCATGCATCGTAGTCCAAATCCTGCCAATCATCCTCCTGGCACAGGTACTGCTCGACCGGGTCCCACCAGTGCAGAGACCTGAGCGGGTTCTCGCGAAGACATGCGAGGTTCTGTTGATGCGCTCAGTGTTGTAAGGCCAACAGATAGTCACTGGAGTAGTTGTCAGCATCGACCCGTGCCTGTTGTCCCGCGTCCAGTCCTGGTAGACCCCGTGGGTATTCCTCGGACCGTAGAGGAGGGGGGCCGGGCCGTTTCTCCCTAGCTCTTGATTTGGTAGCACAACTCATAATAGCCCCCGCAATAGTGGCCACCCGAGGAAGCACAGCCTGAATAGCCCGACGGACCGCCGGACGCGACACGTCCAGGTCCTGGTCGATCTCGATGTCAATCGGTGTGATGATCTCCCATTGGCACCACAAGAAGGCCTTGGACAACGGTGCATGGACCCCACTGAACACATCAAGGAGGACGGGGCAGGGTGAGGCTTCGGTCTGGTGCATATCAGTGGACTCCAACTCGGCCAAAAATGAACGAAAGTCATGAAAGACAGGAGTGTCCAAAGATTGGCCTTGCCCCCCCCCCAACAGAGGAGCGGCCCTCTTTTCAAGCAGCCTTGGGGCATCCGGAAGGCGAGTGCTGGTAAGACCCGCAGACCCGTCCCGATTGCAACACGACGCCGCAGCGGTGTGCGCCACGTGGGCAGTTCTTCTTGGTTCGGCACTGATTGCGCTGGTAGGCCTGACAAAGCTGCGTTCCATCACGAAGGCTGGAAACCACCGACCCCACCGGCCCTGCATCCGCAGGGGGGGGCCTTGGCGGGCGACGTGCCGCCAGTAGTTGTACCCGTGGTGATGCTGGGGGCTGGCAGGGCCCCGGCCAACCAAAGGGCGTCACGCTCCCTCACGATGGCGCTGATAACATTGCCGAGTGTCGTGTGGCCCGTGCACCGGGCTGCCCACTGACCGCGCTCTTCCACATCGAGGTGTTGGACCAACTGCAGGCGCCGCCCCTCCGGGGTGCGCAGAATCAAATCATGGCAGCGGCTGGAGTAGGACAGCAGGACGTCATAGGGGACCTGGACGTAGTGCACACTGTCTGCACCGAGCGACTCAGGCGCAGACGGCGCCGGCTCCACGGGGCGACACCCCACAATAGCCAAGGCCAAGAAGTAGGTGTCCATCTTGGCCATGTAGGAAAGCCAGGACTTAGTGGTGATCTCGTCCTCATCATCCTCCTGGAGATACAGGTTGCCCGTCAGGCGTCGACGCTTCTGGCTATGGGTGCGCTGAAAGGTGAGTGAGCGGACCGTCCACAAATCCATGACCTCGAACTGGCTCCGTGTCAGCTGTCGGCTGAGCTTAGACAGAAGTCGGTCAGAGGGATACTGGCGAGGTTCTGGACGCAAGTGGTAGCGTCGAAAGAAAGCCTCTTTCAACTGTTCGAGCTCCTGTTTGGGAAGCAGCGTCTCTTCCTCCGTTGGCGCTGGAGGCAGACTGGCCGCTGCGTGCTCGGAGTCCAGCAAGGCTTTGCACGCCGTCCAAGCGAAGCGCAGCCTGGCAGCCTGGAGGCGCCCCTGCATCTCCTCATAGGCTGGATCCTTGATTGTATCGATGAAGAGCTTCTTGATTTCATCCTCACTGCGAGCATAGTGGCGGAATTCCGCAATAGTGCGAATCCCCAACTCAATGATCTTGTCTTTGATGCGCTGCTCAAAATTGAACTGCAGCGCAAGAGCTGTGAAGGTGTCCTCCGGAGTAGCGAGCTGCTTGGGGACTGTGGCCATGATCCACAAAAGAAGACGGTGGGGTCAACGAACACTGGAGAGCAAAGATGGCTGCGGAAGGTCATAGAAGATAAGAGTGAACGGAGACTGCCAACACAAAGCAATGCTACAGCGGATAGCAAATAGAGCACAGCACAGTGTCAACCCTTTTTCAAAAACTCAAAGTCGTTCATGGCATAACTACTGAAGCCGCTTTGCAAGCTCCCCGAGCTCCAAGCTCAGGCATTGCAGCGCTGGCCAACTGATAGCCTCGCCTGCCGCGTGGGCCTCGTAGTGGGCGGTATAGGGCAACTGACGGAACGGAGCGCGATCGGCCTCATGGAGACTATCATGATGACGCGCCAAATCATCACATGTAGTGTGGACCAATGGGGCGTAGGGAGGCAAAGTACCAGGTCTCGGGGCCGCCGGCCACAACAGCCCTTCCAGCCTAGGCTCTGGGCGTGCTGCCTCCCTGGGCAGGTCTTGGATCTCATCCCACCATTCAATCCATGATTCACATAGGTTCCGTGCAGCACGCAACTGAACCTGTACCACCCCTAGACAAGAGGTGGAGGTCGGGGGAAGGGCCCTCAAGGCCCGACAGGCCTGGTCCATCTGATCCCCCACCTCCCAAGCACGGGCCCGTCTGGCCTCGCCCTCCAAGGGCGCCAGTGTCACGGCAACGAACTGGATCGCCTGAGGCCGGTCCATTGGCACAAGGTATGGGCGTGTAGTCCGGAGTTCACTGGGACACGAGAAGCTGCAGCAAGCATGCAAGAACTGACTATAAAACTCGATCGACGTTCAGAATAGGGACCTACTCCTCGGGCCGGCCGCCGAGTCCCTAGATGAGGCAAAAACTTGCATAGCACACGAGACGCCCTCTCGGCCTACCCGGTAGGCGTGCTGTTTCCGAAGGACTGCAGCTATTAGTACAAGTGGACCTGGGCATTGCCAGGGAGCACTGCTTTACATGTGATACAGAAATCTCGCCCATAGGCCAAGGCCTCATGAATGCTGCGAGCTCGGTGGACTTCGCCTCGATAAGCAGCATTGCGTTGGCGCCATCTGCACCAGGGCGCGTTGTCACGCTCCACATGCCAGTGCGATCCTGCTTTCGTAGAGGTAATGAATGAAATCGGGTACCTCGGCAGGGACGGTGGTGTGATGTTGACCTGGCTCCGAGCCCATTTGAAGATATCAGAGCCGCCCCGCCGGCTGAGCACACCGGCTCGGTCGATAGCCCGCAAACCCTCCAGTCTGGAGTACGCTTCCTCGAAGGAGCACCGCCGAATCCATGCGAGTAGCAAACCAGCCAGCACAGGGGCCCTGTGCACCCCCGCCATGCAATGAACCAGGACGGAGTAGCCCGAATACAGAGTTGCCAGGAAGATAGGCAGCACCAACTTCAACTGGCGGTCACGGAGGGCTCCTTGATGGCCAACAGGAACATTGAATTGGTAGACCTGGCGGGCGCTGACCCCTCCCCGACAGTCGGCGGCAATCTTGTCCATAGCGCTGAGGCTCATGCCGATGTGGTGGGCCTCCAACCAGGCCCGGTCCGTGGGCAGACTGCCCAAGTAGATAGAACCGTTGCCTGCTTCACCCAGGAAGATGAGCGTGGGAGGCTCTGGGGCGCCGCTGTGCCCGGGCCGGCGCCAGCGGTCCCGTGCCGCTGCATCAAAGGCCGCGTCATTCGCCTCCTGCAGGTGCTGAGGCCGCTCCGGCGACGGTTGCAGCGCGGAGGGCATGGCCTTGACTTTGGGGGTCGAAGGTGGCGTGCTTGAAGGGCCTGCTGCTGCCGAAGATGAAGATGCCCGAGGTGAGGTCGACGGCAAAGGTGGTGGTGCCCGCAAAGATGGAGTAGATGCCGAAGCTGATGAGGGCGAAACCACAGGCAGCATAGGTGGCACCTTTGGCGGAGGTGCTTTGGGCGGCGTCACCGGTTGGGCGCTACCGCCAGCAGCAGCCCTGGGTGGCGGCTCCACCCGTGCCCGCTTCGCCGGCCGCGAAGGACTGGTGAACGAAAATGTTGACACCGTGTTCCTCGGCCCCTGTGTGGGCTCGGTCACCGGGCCGGGATACCTCCACCTGCGGCCGCAATGGCCCCTTGAAGCTCTTGCCACGTATGCAAAGCCCGTTTCACAGTGGCGGCCTCCGCCTTCTGGAGCACATGCGTGAGCTTTGCCTCGAAGTTGGCGGTGATCTCGGCCAAGCGAGCCGCCGGCGGGGGCTCGACCGCCAGAAGAATGGCCATCAACTGGGGCAAGAAGGTCAATGCACCGCCGTCAGGGCCGCCCGACTGACGGCCCTGGGTGCTGGGCCGGACTGGCCCTGCAAACGATGGGGTAGGTCGTGGCCTCAACGGTGGAGATGTGGTAGGCCGCGGCGCAGCTTGCGAAACTTGTTCGCGACGAACGATGTCTCGCACCAAGGCCCCAGCGCCCAGCTCCGCTTCGCGGCGCGCCTGGTCCCAGGCATCCGCCACAGCGCGGCCCTGCTTCAGCGCTTCTTCGTAGGTAACGAAGTAAAACGCCAAGTCGGAGGGCCGTTCAATCCCATGGGCAGCGCACCACCGCTCCAGCTTCTGCTGTTCAGCAGAGCGGCGGATTTGTGCGTCAGCGCTTTCCATGGCGTCCGAAACGGGAAGAAAAAGTTTAGCTTGAGGTACCAGCAGCGACACTGCTCCTCAAGGGGCGTCTCCCCAGTTTGGCTTGAGCATTCAAACATTGGGAGACGTTGATTCGAAGCTTCCCAAATAATTCATCATCACCGACCCTGCCTACCTTAAATGATTGAATAACAAATTACATCTGTGCAGAACTGACATCCCTTTGTTTCACGGTCCGATGCCTGGCTCCAGCAGCGTGGCCTGCTGCCCTTCCAGTTCAGCCACTGTTGCAAAGGCCACTGCAGCTTCAGCCAGCAGCGCTTGCAAGGCCCCCAAGGCAGCAGCCACTGAAGCCTCGCAGTCTTCATGGAATCTGGCATTCACTCGGTGTTGAGAGGGTTGGGTATAGTGGTTGGGTGTTGTGAAGAATTGACACGTTCGATCATGCTCGGTTCTTCAGGCAAAACAGCCATCATTCTCAGATCCTTTCAATAGTACAAACGCCTTCTATACCCTCAATGTTGCTGCACTAGCTTCGACCCTCTTAAAGGGCCAATGGCATTGAATTACATACTGAACATGTTGACAGAATCTATTAACCATGTGCCGAGCATGGGAACTTTGTATGGCGATCAGTTCAAACAGCAGGATTGAACACAATTTTGGAGTTGGCACTCATCACCAACACAAGGCAAAGTCAAGGTGCTCTGAAATCATGCTGTGCTACACTAGGTGTAAACTGTATGTACAGAATTGTGTACCTAAGTCTATATTTATATATTATATACAGTATATAAGTAAAATTTATGTGGATGTGGGTTCTATTTTGCCCACCCCGCATGCACCCTGACACCAGGAAAGCGGTGACAAAGCCGCATGGGACGCGCTGGCCTTAAGGGCTGCCAGCCATGGTCTACTCACAATATACACTCCTCAGAACTTACGAGGAAGTAAATCTCGGCGAGGACGCTGTTTACGAGGAAGTTGGTGACCATGTAAATCCCCCCGGGAATAGACCACAGACAGGCAGGTAAGCCCCATCAGCAAACGAGGAAGGCCAGAAAATGCAATGCTCACTACCGAAGTCTAGCAAGTCGAGCAAGTCTAGCAAGTTTAGCGTGTCAAACTTACGAGGAAGAAGTCTTACCCAACACCAAAATATAACATGCAGACCCTCCAGTAAAATGCTAAACGAGGAAGGGGATAGGAGAACTACTTCCTCGTAAGTTCTGGAGAGAGTATATAATATAACAATATATGTGTGCGGCTATCAAAACTCCTTGTCCAATCTCGTGCCATCACATACATTGGGGAGCCATGGCTTCCCACAGTTTTGGGTAGCTTGAGACTTCATCTTCCAGGGGAAGCATCGCTTTCTTTTGGTTAGCAAGGACAGGTTTATATTTATTTTTAACGTTTTAAGTTTTAAGTGTTAACCAAACAATGTGCATCCTTCATGTTCTAGTAGGGCATTGCTCTGGGGAGGGGCCCCATCGCTTACCCTGGTTCTTTGCAAAACTCTTCAGATTGAAGGTGGCTCATGTCTTCTGTGATTGAAACGATGCAAACATTGTACATCTCCAAAACAACGAGTGCTGAGCCTGACGCAAAGACCGCAATGGTGTGCCTCCGAGGCCAAAGAAAAAATTGCACAATCACCTGCTGTAAAATATTAAACATCAATTGGGTGACATGGGTGAGATCTTGTAATCTCATCTGGAAGCCAAACAAGAGACTTGTTGTCTGAAGCCAACTCATCTCGTCGACCAAAAGAATCTCATGTGTTTGCGCTGCCTGAGAGCATTTGAAGTTCAGCCAGTAGTTGCAGAAGTTGGTCGCTCAAACACTTTCCTCACATGAGCGGAGGAACCACATTCCCGCCATGCGCCAATACCAACGATGCAAAAGTATCTACTCCATTCTACTCCCAATCATGAAGACCAGGTGGGATAAGCTATTGCACACTCTGGGAAGGGTGTTTCTGATACATGGTGGTTGATCAAACTTCTTTCATGAAGGAATGGCAATTCTTCGCTGAAAATATCATATCTTTCGCGGATCTTTCCCGGCCTATTGAGAATACTCTTTTTGTGCACGTTCCAGGAAAGGTCACAACATGTGACAATGAAGTGGATGACATAGGAACTCAGAAAGGCTGTTGGTTGAAGATTTAGACCTTGGCAGTCTTCACGCACTTCAAAAAACGACCACATGAAACAACCACATACCCTGCTCACGGAAAGCTGTGCTGCTGGTCCCCTGGGAATTCCAGTCTCTCTGTGTGTGCGCGCGCGCGTTCGCGTGCAACATGTGCACGCACATAGCTTGGACCCTTGGAGAATGTCAGGTCCAAGATGCTGCTGGCAATCAGTCTGGAAACCAAGGAAGTGAAGAACAAAGATATGCGTGAAGTCACCTGTGATTGTTTGGACTGATGCCAATCCAAGCGCGAGAAAGCAAAGGTACTGTCTATTACCTTTGCTAGATTAAAGATGACGGCTCATGCATTCACACAAACATACAGTTCCCCACAACCCTTTAACACAGGGATGCAGGCTGCCCAAAAGAATCTGCCTGAGAAATACCAATCGCCGGCCTTCTCTGTGATCCCTCTAAAGAACACCGTATTTACAGGACATCCTTCCGCAGGCACCATGCAAATGCTTTTTGCCGGGCTTCCGGTATACCGTATATCATCGCGTATTCATGCAGTCATGTCTGTGGCTGTCCTTCTGCCCTTTCGCTGACTCTTGCATCCGGGTGAAGACCCACCGCGAAGCTTTCAGACAAAAGCTGAGACCGGGATGAGCCGACGTTGAACTCACAGCATCTCATCAAACAAAAGATCGGTTTTGTCTGTTTTTGGGGGTAGGCCGTTAGAGGTGAGGTAGGTTAGCTAGGTAGGTAGTTAGTAGAAGCTATTTAAGTAGCTACTACTTAGGACGCAGGCCAGCTCACGCTTCTTCAAGGAAGCTCCCCCCGCCTGAGGACGGGGAGAAAAGCTTCCTGGAAGAAACGCTCACACTATTCATTTGGTTCCTAGATTTTTGGGGAAACTTAACTCTGGCATCCGCGCACACAGCCCGGCTAGCCTGGCGAGCCGTCAGTGGTGGCAGGGTCCTCAGACCGAGCCCAGCATGCAATGACGGCAACTGCAAGCAAGGCTTTCTTAGATATATTCTCTACATGGAACACAACATGCTTTTGTGCTTTGCACGCTTTCCTCATTTGTTCTCCAGTGCTGCTAAGCCCCAACAACGGATTGAATATGCTTCTAAGACATTCACGGATGTTGACACTTTGCACAGGAACTCTTTGGCTCCTGTGATGTTGGGTCCACATCAAGACCCTTGTGATCATTCTCCAGGTGCCTTGCACCATCATCCAAAATGCAGACCAGAGCTCTGCAAGGTGCCTTGCACCGGAGCATGTTTCTTTGCAGAGTCCAGAAGTTCGGATAAGGGACCAACTAAAGAGCGAGGCCTTGGCTTGGCGGCAGGTTGCTGTCGGCGCACTTAACATATCTTAACACTGCTCTTCGCTTTGGAGCTGACCCCCTGCTCTGAAGAATTATACTAAAGAACATGTTGAGGGGCTCCATCTCAGAAATTGAGCCCTCTCGCTGACGTTCTATGACTGTCTAACCTCAACAGCAATGTCCCATGACTGATATACTTGGGAAGCTAGAGGATGTGTGATCTGCTAGGTCTGGGTCTGAAAGCCAAAAGCCAAGCGACTGGTCCTGAGATCCTTCTGGAAGTGTAGGAAACCTTGTCATCAAAACCAGGACGAAGATGTGTGACAGGGTCTCAAAAACTCCATTGACTACAGGAGTATTGGAAAGCAGAGCGTCAGCTGAAGGATATCAATCTTCAATATCTAGACATCTGCTTCACTTGAACTCCCTAGAACTCTTGACGCCTCAGCCAGCCTGGTGACTCAAGGACAGTGCTGCAACCCCTGTTTCCACCTGACCGGTACTAGGTAAATATGCCCTTTAACATGTACTCAATCATACATATATATATATATATAGACATCCCCTCAAGACTCTTGGCTCAATCATGAGTCTTTGCCAAAGTAGTCTTTGGCATTTGAATTTGAAGTAACAAGAAGCTATTAGGAACAAAGGGCATCGCTACTAGGAGCAAGGACGCTACTAGTAGCTCCTGGCCTTACTACTAGGAGCAAGGACGCTACTAGTAGCTCCTGGCCTTACTACTAGGAGCAAGGACGCTACTAGTAACAAAGGGCATCGCTTCAAACAGGTCACCGCAGCCCGCCCAGCGCGGCCAAAAGCTTTGGGCCGTCGGAGATCGTCCAGGCCAAGAAGTCCTCCTCCGCACTCCAAGGAGAAGAGAAGCGATCATGAGAACCACCACGGGACGCTTTGTTTGGTGAAACAAAGGTGTTTTTGCAGGGTTTCGAGGTGTTACGAGTACTACAGTTTCACCATCAATTCAAGTTTTGTTTTGTTAGATCTATCCACTTTCCATTGGGCTCGTATATAATTACTATATGGCAGTGTCAAAGCTTCCAAACACCACACTTAAACATCGGGGATCCATGCAGCTCTTTTGCCCGCATAGCCCAATCAGGCTTGTAGACCCTGCCTGCAGCTGTTTGGAATCGGCACCTGCACTGCTCCCGTGGGACACACCGACAAACCCTAGGCCCTAGGTGTCAGAGAAATGGTCACGTATTCTTCTGTACAACAGTATGGACAGTATGTTTGTGTTCGAATGAGAACCTGGAGCATGAAAGGACGCACACAAAGCAAGCTTTCTTTAACCTTGACATCTGAAAAGTCTTTGTCGTATCACAATTTTACCACTTGAATTGGCAAGCAAACCTGACGACTAAGAGTGGTTGACTGCGAGACACTAGGAGAAGATCACAGGAGCACTCCGTCACTGGTTTCCCAGTACATCACAGTCTCACTGAAGTACAGAAAAGAAACAATCATTCACAACAACGGAATCTTCCGGCAAAAACTTCAAAAAGCTTCCACAGCTTGGTTTCGGACCTGAAAGCAGGGCATCCAAAAGCCGCGGCGTGATCGTGTCTCCGTCAACATCATCTGCAGCTTCCGAAGCATGTTCCATACTTCGACGTGCTCTGCACTCAGCTGTACAAGGGCCCGGGACCGGGTAGCTACAGAGTATCTTATTGCGGTGTGCAACCTACAGTTGTATCTTCATATCATTTCTACTCATGTCTTCTTGTGGCGCGTCATCTACGTCTGCGCCGTGCTTGTGCTTTCTTTCTTATCGGCTGCCTCTGATGGGCTCAAGAGCGGTCTTGCTGTACATCCGCTGGCTGAGAGCCACAATAAGCCACCCACGGACCGCAGTTGGCGCGACGTTGATCACTCAGAATGAAGGCAACGCTGCCGACGCAGCATGATGAGAGAAACAGCTTAGATGTTGTTTCTGTTGGCTGGAGGGGTATACGATGGTATACGGTTCCTTCGAGAAATTGTTGACAGAAATCACTAGGTGTAGCTGAGCTCAAACTGTTCAAATTGGAATGAATGGTACAGGGGTGGTTTCTATTGACTACTCGCAGGAAGCTCTACAAGTGAGGGACCAAGCCTGCACAACCAGTCGGGTTCCGAGTCAGCAAACGATTTCTTTTTGTCGATTGCAGCTAGTGAAACAAGCAGGTGGCATGTAGTTAGCCTGGCAATTGTTTTCAGACACGAGGCAGAAATACTTTCAACGATCAGACTCATTCTTCCAAAACAATGTAATACAGTGTCCAAAGGTTCTTGCGAATGCATCGGACCTTTTCCACCATCGACTCTACTCAGTGAGATTGAGCAAACACGTTCAGCAAGTGTGCTCGTGCACTACTGGAAGGAGGGACTTGCTGATCCTTCTTGCGGAGCACAACTTTGCCCA